CCATTATTGGCCAGTTCTAAATTATTCACACGTGGCGGCTAGTGATTGGCTTGCTAGCCGTATAAAAAGCTTGAGTGGGTTCTGCCCAAGTTGGAGGATTCCACGAACACTGGGAGGAGGAGACTTCATGCTGTGTGATGATCTCTAAGCACTGTGGATCCTTACGGACCCAGTGCATTTCAAGCAGGCAACAGAGGTCTGATCAGCCTCTAGCCTCTCCCCGTCACCAATAGATTCCTAGACGTATCCCTCCCTGCGCGCAAAAGAACTGGACCCATGGAGCCTAGCAAACTTCGTGAGAGTCTATTCAGAGCTCTTTCGGACGAGTACTTTCTTTGGTTGGCGCGACGGGCTCGCGGTTTAGAGCCTCCAACCGGATTGGGCTAGAGTTCGCGAGTTTGGAACTCTTGTCCGCCTCTCTTCTTTCCTGTCTGTAACCGCAACTCAAGCAAGTTTTCCAGCCTACACCACGGCCATCTCTGGTGTAAGTAAACAATCTTTAAATCTACCGCTACGAGTCTGTGCCTAATTCTAGCTTGACGCGCCCCTCTCTCCGACCCCGCGTGCCTGGGCTGCTGGCCACAGCCCGCGTGCAGCACGAAAAAGGGCCCGGCTCGCACCCGGCCCGCACAGAACCAAGAGTAAAGCTTTAAATGTGCAGCTGAAATTTTTGCTCAATGGTTTAAATAGGTCAGAGGTGAGGAAACCAGGTCCCTGGAGACTCGTTCAAATGATCAGTGGGTTGCAGTGGCTGTTTTCATTCAGTAGGTTTGACCAACAAATGCAGTTTCCAAAGAGGTGGCAAAGTTGGCTTCTTCTCTGGAAGGAAGTTGGGGCAGACCAGACTACATACTATCATTTGGAATATGTTTATTGAAATGCAGTGAACGTGACATTTGCTTCCTGAAATGCAATGAATGTGGATCAGCAGAACAGTAGTAAAGTAAAAATACCAAAGAGATGGACCTGTTCATGAATATCATTTAGCACCACTTTTAGTTGCTTGTTTCACTATACCTATTCAGCTGTGAAGCAAACTGTAGATATGTTTGAAATCTTTCACACACAATGCTAGCAAAGTCACTTATTTGTCTTTGGCAAGTGGGCCTCTTACTCACTAGCTAAGACTTCCTGCACTAGGGGAGACTGTGTCCTGCATCTGGACAAAATAGGACTTCCCTATTCCTAGCTTGATGCTGTAAAGCGAACAAACATTTTATTGCAGTAAGCACCGAGGTTAGGAATAAAATATATAACTAAATTACTTCATCCTGTAATTAAGATTACTTGTTCTCAGTTGTGTGCTGCTGTGTTATATTTGTGAATCTAAGGTACTGCTCTAACTTATATTTCCAGACTGAGGACTCACTTATATACATACAGAGTAGCATCAGATTTAGACTCTGTGATTATGTGGCCTGGGACCTCCACCTCCCTCCAGCTCCGATCCTTTGCTAGGCTCTATGGACTGGGATCCCATGCGAACCATGAAGGCTGAACTCTTCCCACGTGGCACCCAGGGGCAAGCTGCTTCCTTTTTCCTCCAAGGCATAATGTGGACCCAAACTTCAAGAGCATTTACGCCAAGACATGCAATGCAAATAACAGACTTAATATTGATCAGCAAGGTTAAAGCTATTTTTTTTCGCCAAAAACACAGGCCACAACTATCAAAGACAAAAGTAATACTCCTTTGCCGGTGCTCATAGTAAAACTTTATCTTCTGTAGTTCCAGAGGGAAGTAATTATATTACAAAAGTTTTAGAAAAGTGCAATTATCAGGCAAGATGCTACCCAATACTGCTGGCAGTCTAGTTTGGGAGAAGAGAGGGTTTTAATCAGTGAAGCTATTCCTGATGTCAGCAGTTTGTCATTTGTCATAATGGCAGTTAAAACAAATGTGGCTTGTAAATTATCATAAATGACTTTTAATACAGCTCTGCTTTACATTTAGAATATGCGTATTTTAGAGCGAGCTGAGCTTTGCTGGTCTTGGAACCAGCTGTACTATATAAAGCTATCATTTCTGTGATACCTATATGCAGAATATGTTGTTATGGCAGCATATCTCACTCAACCTGTTTGCTGGTCGTTTTATTGCCTGCTGACACTGGTATTTTATTGTTTGTCACAGAAAAAAAAAAAAGGATTGTATCATCCTTAGGATATATACTGATTGTGTTTAAAAAACAAACAAGAGAAATGGAGCCACAGGCAAACAAACTGTAGGTAACTATTTCTATTATTTTCAGTGGTGGAGGTGTTATGGTCAGCTTTATTCATTATCTGAATAGTTTTGAAGCTTCTCTTTTACAAAATAAAACATTTTAGACAGATTCTGAAGATTTCACCTATAAGATTGCTTTTTCCACTAAATTCCTATAAGCCAGTATATATGCTTTTGCATGGTATTACAAATTAAGCCTGTAGTTAATATTTTAAAAAAAACAAACCCTCTCGATGGCAGAGTTCAGTTTTTGTAAAAAAAAAATAAATAAATAAATCACTCATCAGAATGTACTTACATGTATTCAGTACAGTGATAAGTGATCTATTGGCAATATTTAAAACTCTTGTGCCAAGAATATATTTGTAATTTGAGCCATTTTTGTTGTGGCCAGAGGCCTAGTTTTAACAGAGCCATCTGGGACAATGTTTGCCATTTCCTAATCCCCAGTTGCCAACTCCTATGCTATGCTTTCCTCTATGACCTCACATCAGCGTAGGATGTGATACACAGTACTGAATGAAAAAGCCTTTACATGAGAGGCTAGCTTAAGAAACGAGGATCAGCCTGCAACTTTCTTGTAGCAACCTTGGGGCCTCACTCTGCTAAATGCCTATGCCGGAAACCGCCTAATTTGTGTTAGCCCAGATAGAAATCCCCTTGGGTGCTCCTAAAACTATTTATATAGGATATAAAACTTAAGGAAATTTGTCTCTTTCTGTTGCATCTCAAGTCATGTCTATGTTGTACTTGCCCGGCCACTTCTGTCCTATATCAGACAAATGTAACTTTGACTTTTCTATTGCCCAGAACTTTCCATCCAGTGCCAAGCTACAAGTGCCCTACCTTATACTTTTTATAGCATTATTGTATTAGGGTTTTTTCACATTAAAAAGCGGGGTCCTTGCATCATGTCCATCGGCTCTAGCCAGAGGAGCAGCAGACAACATCCCGCAGCATGATACAGAGAACTGTTTTACATCAGCATTACAATACATGTTGTTTGTATTAAGTCTTCATTTTAAAGAATTAAGTTTTTCAGGATGATGCAGAACAGGGGAGAGCAGAGTTGATACGAGGTTCAATGCAGCTGCCTCCCTCCCCCCATGCAAGACATCCAAAGGCCTTTTTAGTTGCCATAAGATTGTGGCACCTCTCTATAAGCTCTGTTTATGTTAAATCACCCTCGATAAGGCTAAGCCTTGCATGGCCATAGTCTCCTGCATGGCTTTTTAGACCCACTGAAGCAAGTAAGGAACCACATCACCCCTACTGTGAAGCAGTGAAACAGTTACACTTCACTGGCCCCAAGATCTTTGAAGTAGTACTTTGACAACTTTATCATACTCTGGAAGTGAATCATCATCCCTTGGGGTTTCTGGATCTTCATTTGCACATCTTGTGCAGTTACACCGATGTCCAAATGATCATATAACCCCCTCCCTATGAGTTTCACTACAAGGTTTGCTACAGGTATCCTGTGAAACTAAGAGAGAGTCAGTTAATTGCTTGCTGTTTCAGCTTTCTCATCTGTAGAATGGAGCTCACATGCTTCTTTCAAGAACTGAGAAGGCTTGTATAATGCTTGTGGGGCTTCAGTTGCATGGCAATGAGCACCATAGGCATCCCTTTGAATAACTAACTCAATTTTTTTTTCTTAATGCATTCCAAATTCCCCCTTTTTTTTTTCTCCAGCATCTAGTCAATCAACACAATACATGACTGAAGAGCGATAAAGCACTGCATCTGTGTTGAAGCATGTTCATTTCAGCTTCTTAAATAACTATTCCAACCATATCATAATCTGTAAGCAATAAAAGTGAAGATCATAGGAACTTAAGCCTCAAATATTTAGTGCCTCCACCAGTTCTGAATGAGAAGTGGTCCTCTGAAAACATGATATATATTCCTAATGGTACCCATTCACAAAAAAGAAATGTCTTGTTAGACCTCATTTCAGTGAGTCATCCAAATTGTAGTTGTAATAGGAGAATATAGACAGCACTACCGTTCTTCAGAGGGAAATCTAGAAG